GCTTACACCCACCGTTTTGTTATACTGACGAAAATCTAACAGAAAAAGAGTGAACAAAAATCACAAATTGACGAAAAAACATGAAATAAAGAGAACAAGGGAATTATGATTATTTATTCCTACCATCGTGGAGCTCTATCCGATCTGGATCGAGTCTTAGTCGAGCGTCGAATCAACACTGGAACGTCTTTTTCACGCCTATGTTTGAAAATTTACTTGGTATATATTTCCGTCTTTATTTCCTGCATACCATCGTTGCGATGTATTTTTGGACTCAATATATTTCGATATGTAATTTCAAAGGTGGGAGCGAAATTGAGTTCAAGCGATGATGAAACGGAAATTGGGAGCGTGTTCGTAAATAATTCCAGCGAGATCTAAAAAAGTTCATTTTTTCTATGCTTCTTTTGGAATTTTTCTTCTTAATATGAATGAATGACAGATCTTTCCATTTTTTGACAGGATAATTACCGTTTCAGAACTCATATTACTAGTATCCGATACTATGACCTTGTCCTCTGAGACTGTATTAAGATATTTCCGGTGTCAACCCCTTTCAGAAAGTCTCAACTACCGGCACGTGTCATATTTTGGAAATTATGTTCTTTGGAGTAAAAAATGAAATAGAAAAGAAATAAGGCTGGAATGATCGTTATGAAGGCGAGAAATGCAGTCTGTGTTTCTACTATATGTATAGAGCATAACTATTCAATTTATGAATGGAAAAGAGCAGAAATTGTGGAGGAATTCATTAGAATCTGTAGAACTGAATGAAGAAAAAAGAGCACGGAAAAAACTTAATTACTATAGCAAATATCTTCGGAAAAAGTTGGTTAAAAAATATATCAATGTTTTGGAGGACGTGAAATTTTGAACACATTAAACAAATCGTGAATTCTCTCGCGGAAGAATTTGATCCTATCAACCGTGACATTCATTTCCAAGGTTTCGAATTTCGTGAGTGTGGATCATGAAGTAGTGGAAGGCAATAAGAATACATAATTTATTATCAATTTGCAATGTTTCGCTTTCAGTCGTAGGTGCGCCAAGCTGTGGAAACTATAAATGTACAAAATTAAAAGAAAGTATTCACAATGAATATGAAGTCTGATAATAACAGCATGACCTCTGTGTATCTATTTCAATGACTAGAAACAACTAACTACCTTGATAATTTGGAATACATGCTTATGATATAATCTAAATAACTTCTTCAATGACGGTACCAAAATCGAACCTATCCTCGACAGATTTGATCAATTAACATTCTATTTTGCAATAAATAAGCTGGACCACATTCTTGACCTTTGCTTCAAGCACAGCCCAATACTAGAACCTGGTTTAAATATCCCCCCTCACCCTCCTCGAAAATCTATAATCCATCTGCTTAGCTAAAGGCCCTCGCCTATTGTAAAAAAAATATTTTTTTTGTGTATTTTTCTTGCAATCAATTCCATTAAAAATTGAAAAATCAATCAAGTTTTTCATGACACTGTCCATAAAACGTCATTTTACAGACTGCGTGTCCGTTCAGCGCCGTTTACGGACATTGTGAAGAAAAATTACGTTCGTCACTCGGCCGATGACGGAAGATTGGAACCCTATTTTTCGTCGCTGCTGAGATGAAAAATAGGGTCCCAATCATCGGAGGTAAAATATACTATTGCGAGATAACGGCGAATCCAATCTTCTATTTTCTAAGAGTAAAATCAAAACCTTTGCACGAAGAGAAATATTCAATAAAAAGTACGTATCTTTTCCGTAATTCCGGAGTGCAATGTGGTTGTAGGAAGTTTTATGGAACTGTCACGTAATTTTTACCGAAAATCACGGAATTTTTCCAGAGCGTTCCGTAATTTTTACCTGAATCCCTGTGAAAAATTACGATACCGTCACCTAAATTTTCTGAGTCGATTCCGTAATCGGTGAGCGAACGTAATTCCGTAATTTTTACGAAACTCAAACGAGACTTTACTTTGGGGCGATCGTCTCGGTCTCCGTGAACACGGAAACTATTGGTTTCATCACAGTTTCAAAAGAGGCAGTATCAGCTCTTCTCGTGATGACTCACAGTCAATTTATCTCATTTCAGTCTCAAGTTCCTCGTGCTTTTTGAATGGAAAGTCTCGGTTTCAGTCTCGGTCGTCTCGTCTCGGTCTTTTAGACATAAAAAACGCGGAAAACTTGAAATAGAGATGAGATAAATTGACTGTGAGTCATCACGAGTCACCACGCTACCGAAAGTTTCCGTGGTCACCAAGACCAAGACGAACTCTCCAAAGTGAAGTCTCGTTTGAGTCTCTGCAGCGCTAAGTGAAATCGATGGAAACTTCTTTCAAAACTATATGGGAAATTTTGCCCGTACTTTGCAGATTTTTTTAAAGAATCCACTAGATTTTCTGGACAGTTTCATATATAAATAAATAGGAAATATGTGGTAAAAACCAATTAGTATATTGTTATTGTTCTATTTAATCTGTTGTTCGACATTTTTCCTATAGAAATTTCTTGATTTTCTTCCTATCAAATACTACTAGTTCTGAATTCATAATAGACATATGTTGAAATTTTTTAAAACCAAATAGATTCCCTAGTAGCTTTCCCATTGAGGTCTAATGAAATTTCAACAGAATTTTTTAGTCACTGTGCTCGGATTTCCCTGTGAATGTTTTCAAAAATTTCACTCTCACTTCTGTCTAACATCCGGTTTTTTTCTTCGGAAAAAATATGTTTTCAACTAATTTCTCTTCTTACGTTTTCGACTAGTTTCTCTGTTGATCTGTTTTCTCATTAAAATCTTTATATTTAAATTTCACCATTTTGCTCAGATGCTTCATACTCAATTCTCTATGAAAAACGATCCGGTTTTGTTCCTGAATGAAAAAATCGAGGGACTACTCATGGCTCATCATTGTCAGCGGTTATCAGTTTCTTTAGGAAGGATTAGCCGAAGAATGTAAATTAAATCATAAAAAAATAATGTATCAATTAATTTTGTCAACTATTAAAAATGAGTATTGGGTTGGTCACGGGTGCCGATCATCGACCGATGCTTGGCAACCAATACCGACATAACGTTATCAAACCAATTGCTAGCTAAGGAGTCTGCTCTGGACACCCAAGTTAAAATTTTACCGGATCTCCCGACGTAGTTTTAACGTTTTGAACCTACATTGATTTGATGTTCAAATTCTCCGCCGAATTTTGACCGTACTTTCAACTTATCTCAACGTGAAGGCCCATGGACGTTGAAAAACACTCAATATCCACCGTATATTAAACGTACTCTCAACGTTAACCCTCTCACTCGGATTTCGTTCTCCCCATTCAGCGACCACTGGTAATGCGGCGAGTGGCGGGGCGCGCGCGGGATGCTCAAAGTGAGTGGCGCTCAGGGCCGTACGTTTGTTCCATCGCTTGTAAGGGAGCAACGCCGCCAAATCATAGGATGAGACATTTTTCATCGAAGAAATTTGTTTTATTTCTGTTAGTCACATTGAAAAATATAAGATAAACACTGAACACATTTAGATAACCTAGGTGAACAATTTTTTTTTGCGAATTTCCCAATATAGAAATTTTCGGTCCACTCCGTGCGGGCATTATTTTGAACGAAAGGAAAATAAAAGAGGAGAAAAAAATTATGGAATGTTTTGAAGAGTTTAGGTCTTTTTATATATTTTATTCAAGCGACTCAAAGCTACAGAATGCATAATGAACACGATTCAAAAATATTGGGGTTTTTTGTTCCATGAATTTTGAACTTGAAAAATTTGGTCTCTTCACATGTAATCTTATTTTGAAATTTGAAATCATTTCTTAAAATTAAGACAATTTTTTATACAGATGAGGTTCTCTTCCATTCTCGTTAAGATCGGACTCTTTTGGTTTCCTTCAGAATGACTGAATTTCGAAAAAATGATGAATCCAACTAGACAGTTTTCGTAGTGATTTCCCTTCCTAATTGTTCAATGCAGAAATATCAGTTTTTCTACATTTCCTATGATCTAACAGCATGAAATTTGATGAAACACCCTGATCGACACAAGGAAATTTGACATTCTCGACACATGAAGCTGGTTTGTTTGTAACGCCCGGATTCAGTTCTTTTCTTTTCTTTCATGCATTGAATACAGGACTTCACTCGACCTTGGATTTTCACAGTTGAGTGATCTTCTACCAAGGTATTCCTCTGAGAATTTCGAGCAATCAGGGAATGAGTCATTGATCGAGCTCGATGAGAATTACTGGGTCGATATCGTCGATTTGTAAAATTTCCTATCAACTGTTCAGCTAAATTCAGCCTGAACTGCAGATGACTCTCACGAGACCCACTCATTCTGTGGAGGAGGAAACTATTTGTCGCACAGACATCCACCATAAATTTTTTTTTTTTTATATTCCGGCCCTTTCTGCCCTCTGATGGCTAATCGGCCCTATCCAACCCTATGCATGCCGCTGTGGATTCTACACTGCACCGCATTCGCACTCCTATAGAACATAGGAGTAGCATGGGAAACCACAGAAAACCCATGCCGGTACAGGCGGTCACTATATTAGCGACCTCCCGCTCGCCGGAGCCTCCGGTTGAAAAACTCGGTTCCACGGGGAATCGAACTCACAACCTTTCGCACACTTGGCTCGCACCTAGCCGCTTCGGCCACCGACGTCGGTTCCACCATAAAATTGAAATAATACATCCACCACCTTCTCCTAGGTCGACCAATTTTATAATAACATCGTCGCTGATCCGCTAGATCTACTCCTCCCATGTATTCATTATATCCTTTAATTGCCTGGGGACAGTCAAAAGTGATTCTTGTTCGAATTTTAGAGTCGAATTTCTCCACATCAGTCGCAACCATCGAATGACAACTTGTTGATAGAACAGATACGGCTTTATTATCTTGCCATACAATAGCACTGACGTGTCCCCGCTGCATTATTCGAAATTCTCCTCGCTTCAATTTTAGAGATTCAGGCTTTTTGAAGTCAGTTGGCTATTCGCGACGATTCGATCTCACGGTGCCACATGCATAAATATTATACTTCAATAATTCCTCCATCAAAAAGACTGATGTGAAGAAGTTGTCGAAGTAAATATGATAATAGATATCACGAAAAGCTTCTGATAATTGCAGAACCACCTGCTCGCCTAGCAGTAATTCTTTTCTCACAACTTCTTTTTTCCCCAGATACGGTGAAATGTCAAGCATGTATCCACTCTTGCTTTCTGCAATGGCCCACATCTTGAATCCCCACTTATCAGGCTTATCACGCATGTACTGGCGGGTGGGAAATTTACCTTTATAAGCGATCATCGCCTCGTCGATGGCTAAACCACGTTGAGGATTCATAACTGTTTTGAACTTCTGGGCCAAATTGAGAATCGGTCGAACTTTGTATAATAAATCGAAGTTAGGGGAATCAGGTGGAGGCATTTGACAATTATCAGCTAAATGTAGATATTTTTGAATCAAGGAGAATCTCTCATGTGTCATCGTCTCACGGATCAGTGGACAGGAAACATATTTACCTTGAAAATACATCTGAATCGTAGGTAAAGGGATAACGCCCATGTAAATTATCATCCCAAGATATGCTTGAATGTCACGAGGGGTTAGAGGTACCCACTTCTTATTTACTTGATCATTTCGATTTTGACTCTGTTCAGCGTAGAGATTTGTTTGATCAGAAATTAACTTATACACCTCTTCAGAGATAAACAATTCAAAAGAAGCTTTTTCAGGGCTACCCAGTGGCAAATTGTGTGTTGGTCCTGGACTTCCCTAGTAATCTACTGTCACGTGATTTGTAATGATTCTGGACCACTCGCTGCAATTCTCTTTCTCTCCATTTGACACATCCCCTTCCTCCCTCAAGTTCACAGAATTCATGTCATCAGCATCATCAAATGGGCAGCCAGAAGAGTCACTTTCATAATTTTCGGAATTTATTATTTGTTTCTTTTTCTTGTTCTTGGAACCTGGGGGCCGAACTCTCTTAGCAGGTTGGGAACGCTTGAGAGGTGAAAAATGGTGGAGATTTGTTTCTCCTCGTGATAATTCAGAGAGTTTTCACTTTGGACGGAGTGTTTTTTTTCTCACGTGCACTCATGTTATTATTATTGTTAGAATTTTTGTCACTACAATTGTAAATTTGTTGAAGCTAATAGTCACTGTAATTGCACTTATTCATTGTCATTATTATCACTGATTTTACGTTATTTTTTTCTTTTCAGACAAAATTGTTCTTTTCTTATGTTATAATAATATTCAGAATTTTTATCACTGGAATCAAAGCAAATGTTTTTTATGGTATCATTTCTTTGGTTTCATTTATTAATCATCGACAATTATTATAAGGACGTGAGAGATATTGTATTCAACCACATTCTATCAGGAAACAAAACGAATCCATCAGTGCAAAAATATTAACATGTGATCTGACATGGTGGGTTTTGGCAATACGGGTTAATTTTTTGGGCATTCCGAGTTAACGTAATAACTATGAGCACTTCAGAAAACATCTAAAATATGACAATAGAAATTTGGATAAAAACAGACTGAATGAACAATTAATCACCTGATATTAAATTCACTGGATGGATTGAAAATTTAATCGGCAAACGGGAGGCATTGAGGTTCCAAAGCACCCGCAGTGTTGACGAGGTACGGCACTATTCCGTTAGAGCCGAACCGAACTCGTCAGCGCTAGGGTCTCTTTCGTGCTCGACCGCGCTACGATTGGTTCATCCCCACTCTAGGGGGCTAGGTACGACTTAGTACGAATTCCGAGTCAGAGGGTTAATGACGTTTGTTTCCTGTTAACGTACGTTGGAAGTTTCGACGTCGACATTTGATTGTATCAAGGTTATTATTGGCGATAATTGAAAAATTAATTACCGTGTTAAAGACTCACGTAACTAAATTATTAGTGTTAGTACATTAATAACATTAGTTCGAAGTTCAAACAATCGTGTGTCTGTAAGGTCAGTTGGGTCCAAGGGTAAGAAGGGTTAGTTGAGTATAAGGATCAATTGAGTATAAGCGTCAGATGAGTATAAGGGTGAGTTAACTCCAAAAGATTACGCGAACCTCAGATTCATATAATTCTTCGGACTCGGCTGACCCTTATATCCATCTGGTCCTATGCTGAAGGTTTTACGCTTATTGATAAAAAAAACCCATCTGCTCCTCATACTCATCTGACCCTTAGATCCATTTGACCCTTAAACTCAATTGACCCTTAAACTCAACTGACACTTGAACACAACTGATCCTTAAACTCAACTGAGCCTTTTACTTATCTGACCCTTACACTCAGAAAAAAAATTTCTAATATCGGAAACATATTTTCTTGAGACAAGTAAATTTTCTTCAATTGCTTAATTCTCTCAGGCATCTCAACTCACATGACCCGAGAAAAGCCTCATGCTTTAAAATATTCTTGTACTCAAGTATGATTTTATCGCAAATGAACTTACTTAAATCGCGTAGAAGAATCGTCAATCTTCTAGTCTTTATTGTTTTCATGATTTTTTCATTATGTACTTCCAATATTGCAATATGTAAAATCTTCATGACGTAACACGGAACGATAGTGATGAATGAAAATTTATTTGAGCTCCGTGAAGTGCACACATTGTGAGATTTAAGCCATTGCAAATAATTTACTTCTCTCAAGAAAATATGTTTCAGATATTATAAATTTTTTTTCTCAGTGTACTGAACTGACCCTTACATTCGCCTGACCCTTCGCACTCTTTTGACCCTTAGGTTCAACTGACCCTTAGATTCGCGTGATCCTTCAGACTCAACTAACTCTTACACTTATCGGATCTTTACGCTCACTGACTTTTATATGAAGGGTCCGACCCTTAGACGCCTCAGACCTATATAGACTCTATCCCTAGGGGGGAGGAGATAGATTCCCTCTCATCTCCTCCCCCCGCTCCTTCCCTCTTAATTTACTGTATTACTCTATTGCCTACTTGCTTTCTGTTTTTTCCTATTTGTCTTCTTATTAGTTGCTTATATAAACCCGAAAAAAGTACAACTTGCCACAAGCAACTGTACAGCTCAGAAGCATACCGGGATATCCCGCGATCACTGAGCTTGAGCAGTAGCGAGTAAAACCAGAATAAGGATAGGTGATCGAAAGGGAACACGGCAGAACTACAAGCAGGGATATCTCCAGAACCAATGGACCGATCCGTTTTTTTCTGTTTTTCCCATTTTTGTTTCACCGAGTTAATAATATTTATATTTTTGCCATTCTTCCACCGATTAATTTATGCAAGATGTAATTAATTAATCGATGTTAGAATGAAACTGGTAGTGTGAAAAGGGTAGGGGAGAGGAAGGAAGGAAAAAATGTACGGTGGAGGAACGTTGGGGATACGTTTAGTTTCAAACTAGATTCAACGTACAATCTGGAAAAAATGGAAAAAAGAGACGATATTTACGTCGAAAGTAGGTTGACTCGGTGGATTTGAGCCTGTACACTGGACAACGTACTTTCAACGTCCTAAACCCACCAGTGGACCTTGAAACTACGTTGGGAGACCCGGTAAAATTTTGACTCGGGCAGTCATACTGATCGGACGCTTGTGCCACCCGAACCGCTCTCTTATTACCAAGAAGCCCAGAAACAATTTTCACAAGATTTTAAGCGACCAGTACACCGCTTTTTTTTACCAAACTTCCAAGTTTACAGAAGGTGTTAATTATTTCTTATCATTATGATAAGATTTCATAACAACAGAAGTGAGGTTTAAGAGCAAGATAAATTAAATTAATCAAATATGAAGCGAGGAAGAGGATGAGCCCAACTCCCACGAGAATCTAATCCAAATATTAAGAAAAAATCTATGGAAGATAAAGACGCTATTATTCCCACGGAAAAAAAGGAGTAAAATACCCTCTAGCAACATTACTCTTAGTAAACTTTATAAGGAATATCGAGAGTTAAAAATGCTCTATGGGAACAAGAACAATCCTACTAATTCGGCAGCCCAATCAACTCCAATGAGATCACAATCTCAAACATCAAGTAATTCACAGAATTATAATTTTGGAAATTCAGGTCACAGAACTGAGAATAACGACTATAATTGGACGATCGAACGAGCCCGCCGAAGGCGGGCGAAGTTCGATCATAATTATACGAGTGTGTCGTTCGAAGATGATAACATTATGTAGTAAGCCTCGCGTAAGGAAAACTTCACAACAGTTTAGATTTGAATTAAAAAAAAAAACATGCCCCCGTTACCTCTGGGGGCGCCACCTTGTTCCGTGTCATATTTTTAGAGATTGTCGAAATTATCACTCTTTGAAGATGATTACGGGTAATGGGAGGGTGGAGGTGTAATTATCTTCGAACGAGACACTCGTATAATTATGATCGTCCAATTACACTTGGCGTCTCGTTCTCGATGATTACATTATGTAGATGTTTAGAGACTAGATAATTTCGAATCCTTGGTCTCTTTGTTGAACAATTTTTATTATTTTATTGTCATATTTGTCTTTTGACATTGTGACAAGATACGTGACACTCGACGTGACTCCAGAATAGAACCAAGAAATTCCAAAAAAATTCCCCAATGGAATTTTTGACTCGACTTGAATCACTCCTGTTCTAAACGATTCCACTGACTCGATTTTTCTCCAATCACGTTCCCCTTCGATGGTTTCCTCTCGCTCCGCAGTCTCCGGAACACGAGTGCAAGGCCCTGGCTTACCGATTTGTTGTCCCCAGGGCTCATGTCAACCACTTAAATTAGACTGGAGGTTAGGAATAGGTTAAGGGATCGATAATTACAACTAAGAGGAAATTCAACTCAAAACCAGTTAATCAAGAGCGGCGTATATTCCTCCCATTGATAAGCCAAAAAATATATAATGAAGAAAACTCCGTATGTTTGACAATTAAATGTGAATGTGAGTATAAAACAAAAGAAAAAGACGCACATAACTTCGTGCCCGACTTAAGGAAAGATCTCAAAACTAAAAATAAAAGTCCGTGCGCATGCTCGCACTCACACACACTCCCATGCACACACATCGCCGTATTCCGCATCGAGAAAAGATGTAATTTATCAGAAAAGTAAAATTGTTTCTTGAATGTATATCGATTTCGAAAAAAGCTAGTGAACTGCTGATTAAATGTCTTCCAGTATTCCATGATTTATGCGTTATATCAAGATTCATCGTTTCTAACAAAAAAAACTTGAAATCGCATCGTTATGCACGGAGAAATGGTCTCGTTTACAAAAAAACGCTAATTTTCGACTTTTTTCCAAATGTTTTTTGGAAAAAACTGGAGAAACGCTGAGACGATCGTCTCCATAATCTAATCAGGTTCAAGTCACATGAAAATACAGCGATTAAAAAAAAAAATCAAATCGCATCGTTTGTTCAGGAGGAATCGTGGCACAAAATTTTTGTCACAGACGTACGCACACACATACACACATCCACACATACAGACAGGTACC